ATTACATATATATATATATAGTTACGATTTCTCATATCTTCTTCATTATATGCTCTCTTATCTGTTTCGATTTTTCACCACGTTTGCATTTCTTTTATTTAATGAACTCCTTAGATTTGTACTTCAAGTACCTTTTTGCTCCTGTGCTATAAATAAAAACTGTTTAGGAAAAGAAATGAGAAACCAATAAAAAGCAATAAAAGCTTTTTTAATTAGCGAAATTTAGTCGATCATATAAATCAAGATAAATCCAACACAACACAGACGCATAAAAGAAATAATTGTTTCAATTGTTCATGAACTTGTTACTTTAGAAAAAAAAAAAAAAAAAAAAAAAAAAATTAAAAGCAAATGAGAATTATACGTTTAATTGTGAAGTCTATAATACTTAAAGATCTGAATAAAAATGAATTAACTTATAACAATTAGTGCTTTAATTAAACAGAAGCTCTCAATACGTTTTATGCCGACCGCAATGTACTTAGCCTGTTAAAATATATTTTTCTTCATTTTTATTTACTATGTGTGTTTACTATCGACCTTCCAAAACGATCGTTAATAAGCAACCCTGCATGTATTTTTTACTTTTATTTTTATTTACAATGTGTTTATTATCGTCTTTCCAAGAGGACTGTGACAAGGAAACCTGCATGCAGCAAATTTGTAATATACAAACACGAAATAGGAAGTATCAGACAAGCAAAGCGGAACGAAAGTCAAGTTTTGTTCACGACCAAGCCGATAATTGATAAAGACAAGAATTTCATCTGATGAGAAGAAAAGGCTTATTTACAATATTTTGTGCACTTCTTACTATAGCTCCAGCAATTTGTTACCTTCTAGTCTATCTAAGCTTTGCTCACAAGCTGCTATTGTTTTTAGTTTAAGTTTTAATTTAGGAAAAATAATCGGTAAATGCAAATAACAAATGTACATTAAAACATAACAGATTTATTGCTATCATTGCCCTAATTTAATAAAGGCAAACTATAGTAGTATATAATAGATATATAATGAAGAAACAAATGTTTAATACTTTTTTAATTTCCAGCATTGCATTATTTATTTAATTTTTGTGTAAATTTTATTTTTGATTGATTGTGACTTTCTCGTCTCAATTGAGATGTGTACACACAAACATCAATGCAATCACCTTCATAGGCCGCCATAGGAATAGTGAAGGATTCAAATGATCTTCTTCTATTTTGTAGACGAAGCAAATGTTGTGCAGCGCTGCACGAACGGTCATGTTACCCTTAGATATTAGTCAAATTAGGTCGAACTCTTTGTCCACTCTGCTACACATATGCCTCGGGATTCTCATCGCTTTATCAAGACACATTTTGGGAATTGATTCTGATAGATTTGAAGTTAACCGAGGTCTTCTGCAAAATATCTGTCTTTCAGTACGCTGACGACTTCTCAATAGTTTCCTCGGATCGATCCTTTAACGGGACAGTTCGAAATCTTTCATAAAAAGTTAATATTTTCTTTAAGAAATGTTACGAGCAAAGTTCAAACAATCCATTTTGCCAAGAGTTCGGACAAGCAAATTGGTATTAGCGTCAACGATGTTCATATCACTTAAAGCAAATCACTACAATTCCTTCGTAGGAATTTTAACACAACTCTTCCTGTTCTTGGCAATTATGAGAAAGAAATTAAAAATTCCAGCAAGAATATGAACGCGATTAAACTAATGACAAATGCTTATAATGGTATGTCTCCAAGTAAATACCTCTTATTATATAGAGTCTTAATCCGATCTAAAATAGAATCTGGCCGCTCAACCACCAGTAACTCTCCAAGATATACTGTAGTAGTAAATATAATGTAGTATCATGGTTGATCATCCACAATATGAATGACCAAAACTTCACAATCCCTTCAACATTTTTCCCCTCGTAGGTCATAACAAACAAAATCTATCTCCAACTATAAGCCAGTTCGTCTGCTATGAAAATATGTTGACAAATCCCTTAAAATGCATCTGTAGAATCTATGTGCTTTGGTATGCCCACTTTTAACTTTTCGAGAAAATTTTGGCAAGCCTTGCAAGCTTTCGTCTAGCTTTGTGGCTGGCCTATAGCAACGAGCATAACTGTAGGACTGCTGCTTAAACAGAGCACATAAGATAGCTCTGATGACTGACAATAAGTACGCTTTCTAAATAATCTCTCAGAAGAAAGAACATAATCTACACGGTGCTAACATCTTTAGAAGCATTGTATTTTCCTCAATAAGACAACTGCATCTTTTTTGGATATCAAGCCATTACGGCCTTTCAACCAACGAAAAAACTGTTGGTCTAGCCACGAAAGCAATCATTGACAGAGAGCTTTTTCAGCATCACTAAAAAAGCTATAAGGGTTATCAAAGACGCTTTTCATGAAGAATGAAATAACGAATTTCAAATTATAGCCACACCCAAAAATGATCGCATTGTATACCAGCTCTTCCAAAAGATAATTTCTGAGAGAAAGTGTTCAAGTATATCAGCTCTTCTCAAAGGTAATTTCTGAATCACAGATTTCTGAGAAAAAATGTGCAAGTTCTGTGAAATTAAATTCCCAAACCGCCTTCTAGCAGGTTGCATATATGACAAAGCTTATCTCCGTACGATTGGGTCTGCATTTAGTAACTTTCGTGACACATCCAGCTTAAGATAATCTACTGAGCACTTGATATCCAAATGCCAAAAATATAAAATAACAGTAACAGAAATCGTTTTAGCTTTGCCTCATACTTTCCGCATTTGAAAACCATCTTCTAAGCGAGGCATGAAGGGTTACTTAAACAATCGATTTCCTTAAATTTCATGAACTATTCTAAATCTAAAAATTGTCCATTTACTGCCAATTATATTTTTTATCTTTATTTCAGTCATGCAGGTAGGTTCATTTTTTGGTTCTCATCACATGTTGCCATCACATGGCAACACCATACAATGTTTGATTGATTATATGTTAAGTTACTTGTTTTATGTTCAAAAAAAAAAAGTAATATTTTTTCTTGCATTTCTTATTTGGTCTGCAACGGCTAGTCTAAGTTTACAACGTTCCTGCCCATCTATAACTACAAAATGGGTCAGGACCACACCATAATAACCTAACCAAAAACAATGTATTTTTCAAAGTATGATAAAAATTACTAATATTATACATTTACTGTTGTGTTTTGTTCTTGCTTTAATTTTTACATGATTTCTAAGCTAGAATCACTATTTTTGGTAACTACTTCTGTTTCGGAAGATCCGGAACCTGACCCAACATCATCTGCTTTTTCGTTGTCATCAGATTGGCTATTAATATGATGTCGTGAATGATGTGGCGAAGAGGAGGATAACTGCCAAGTGGGTATAGAAGGTGTGCCGAGTGTGCCAATATTTAAAGGAGCTGCAAATTGTTTGCGATTCAATAATAGGCCCTTTATGGCTTCCAAATCGGTTTTAAAACTATTAAATTCGCGCATGAACTTTTGTGTTTGATCACGTTGTTCTCGTGCTATCGTTTCTTTAACTTGGTTTAATTCTGTTCTGACTTCAGTTATGCGCACATCTATTTTCATGTTTATGTCTGATAAAGTCTCATCGGCAGTTCTTTTTTTTTTAGATTTGCCAAACAGAAAAGGTTCAAGAAACTTCTTCCATAATGTATAGAAAGCATAAGCTACGCCACCCAATAAAGCCATGGAATGTAAGAGCTCCTTAATGCGGTCTAACATCGTTGTTTGCTGTGGTTGTAGGGCTAACTGAGCGCGTGTGGTGTTAATATCCATGTTAATGACAGTGGGCGGTGTTGAGTCGGGATCCTGGCTAAATATTCCAGCCCGTTCATAAGCCATTTGTATTTCTGTATTTGTAAGACCTTTGGACCTAAGAAATTTTTGCTTTTGCAGTAATGTCGCGTTATATACCTTAGGATTGTGTAGAAAATTCACAGCAGTGGTTACCTGTTAATCATGAAAAAAAGGAGTAACAAAAAATTGAATTTACTTACAATTAATTTGATATACTTACTAAAGCTTCGCGTGGCGATGGATCTCTTGCAAGCGTGTCCAGACCCGCCTCATTATCAGCGGCAGTAGTTCCCGTTCCTATTTTGAATACATCTCTTGAGAGTGTAGTTTGGGTATCACCAGTACCTGTATCGTTATTTGACATGTTTAAGAATATATTAATGTTAATTTTGTTTAAGATATTTAGGACTCTGCACTAATTCTTTTAACAAGAATTGGTGTTTAATTAAATGCAAGCGATTTCCACAAATTGCACAGAAACAGATGATTTGCATTTATTTCTTTTGCTAAATAATGCAAAACGCCATCTACATGTTAACGGGCAAAGGTTAAGAACCTTGTAAAATTAGTGGCATTTTCACAGAGCCATTATAAAATCCGACCAAAACTGCTTCAGGGATGAGAAGAGTAAGTTAGTCATCGCACAGGGATAAATAAAATGTACAATAAAGCACAACCTTGTAACACATGTACAATAAAATACATTTCTGCATAGCGTTAATATAATGAATAGAACTAACAATAGGGGCGAATGGAAACACCTTTCTGTTCGCTTTTATTATGACTCCATATGAATTCATCATATTTCAATTACAAAGTAAAAATAAAGCAAAAAATCTGCGGTATTGCGTAAATTATTTTTTTTTTTTGTCGCAAAATCGTTTCACCTAACTTTTTTCTCAAGACTTGGAATATTAGTATAAATAGCTTTGAAGCGAAGCCTCATTGAGCCAGCCCCCAATGTCTTTATATTCTCGAGGATGGGAGAAGCATTTAAATTAAATATTTCATAAAATAACAAATAAATGCAGTTTATAAATGTTTGTATATATAAGTTACACACCTACACATAATATATATAATTTATAAATTTATAGAATTTACAAATTTGATGTCGGCCCCCCTAAGGCAGAATATAAGCTTATATAAGTCTCGTTGTGTTTACGATTGTATTAGCTTCTTTAAGTGACTAACACAACTGAAAGCTGCGATACATTATTATTTGATAGGAAAAAATAAGGAAATTGAAGTAGATGTAAACAACTAGTATTAAAAATTTTTTTAAAAATAAAAATAAAAAAATCAACATAATTATACCAAACCAACGCAATGACACAATCAAGCTTCGTTTCTATTCCCATTCCTTGAAGAGACGTATAATTTGTAAATCCTCTGATAAAATGGAAAACAGATTTCATTTGCAACTGTTTGCGTATCTATAATATATATATGTATATATAGTATATATATAATATATGTATATGGATTACGTTATTAGCCATCTAGCTGACTTATACGGTTACTTATGTGTAGTTTCTTTTTGCATATGAATTGTTATATAGTTACTTAATAAAATAAGATGAATGAATAAATGGATATGTATATATAACTAATAAATTAATAATATTTATAAATTGAATGTCTACTGCAGACGTATGAAGATAAGCGAAACGTTTTCGGGTTAAAAACTCCGTAGTAGTAAACACAATGGGCAGGCGCGCTATCACATTGTTTTGCACAAAAATGTAAACGAAAACATATGGTTTTAGAACCAAAAATAAAGAAGTCAACGTAAACAAAACGTTATAAAAAAACAACAATAAGAAATTTAATATGCAAGGGAACATGCTCACAACAATTTATTATTTGGACATATAAGCCACAAATCTATTGGCTTAGTCCATCTCTGTTCAACATACCAAAAAAAAAAAAAAAAAGGGAACATGCTTGTTTATTGTTTAGTGATGAAGAAGGTTTATTAGATACATCCACCATGTATATATTAGATATGTTTTTGTGTATTAATTGAGCCATAGTTTAAAATGCCATATTACTCTCTAATCAAGTAATTTGGTGAATATGTTTCAACTTTGGAATAAACGGTATTCGTTGCTTTTTTTTTGACAAAATACATGATATAAAAAAACGTATATTAGTGTAAGATAAACATAACTACACAAATAAATGTGAAATTAAAAAAAAAAAAAGTTCAATTTTTCTTGTGATTTTTTTTTCGTTTTGTTATGATAGCCACCAATGTAGCCACATATAGCGTCTATGTTAAAATGTTTTCGCTAAGTTGCGGTTTATTGCGAAGTAAAAAAAAAATTAAATAAGTATTAAAATTGCAAAATATTAGCAAGCAAGCATATATAAAGCAAGCTAGGTCTTCAAAGAAAAAAAAAAAAAATGTAACAGCTTTTTTCGGCGCACTATCAATAACAAATCATAAACAAGACCATTTTTGCCAAACAGCTGAACAGCTGGTGTTGTTATCTTTTTATGCGTCTTTTTATTCTGGCGTTTAAGCATAAAGATGGAAATTGCAAACACCTGGCATGGCTTTTGATCTACTTTTCAGCAAGTCACACTACTAATTAGTACATTAGCAGAGCGTAGTGCAATAGTGTAAAGAGGGGAAAGGAATTGGAAAAAATTAGATAAACATTTTGTAATGTGTATAAAACAAAATATTTATTTCATGACAAAAGATTTTCAGAAACTCCATTTAAAAAAATTAAAGTATTTTAACAATTTCATTTAAAAAATTATAAGCATTCCAAAATGTTCATTTTAAAAGAACTTTAAAATAAGTAAAAACAAAATTTCAATGCAAACGAGGCCCGCAACTCAATTGATTTTATTGCCGCCAGATTCGAAGTAAATCAGAGAATGCATTTGGCGGCAATCACCCGAAAATTCGCTTACATGATTAGATTTTAGTGGTAACTGTCGTCTACTCCATTGCCGCTTGCTAGCATGATTTTGTGGATGGTGCAGTAAATCGGGTAGGTGTTACTGTAAAACCATATGTGGTTGTTGTTACAAATCTAAGACCTTTCGCAATTGTACTCATTTATTTATTTATTATTATAATTTCAAAATTTATAATATATGCGTTTATTTAACATTTAAATTTTAAGATAAAACATTTAAACACATTTAAATTACATTTATACATTTATTGAACTTAAATTGCAAAATATGATAAGCGAGAAAAGATTTTATGCGGGTAGATATTCATTACTGTTCGTTAACTATCCTCCGAAACACAAGTGTTTTTCACTAATAACATATTTCTTTAGTGCTTAGAAATTTTGGCATCGGGCAACCTTAGCAAAATATTTTTCTTAGAAAGAGACAAATGCTGCAACTATATTGAGCGTATAATTTCACAAGTGAAAAATATATCTTTTATTTTCATAAGCAGAAAGGAAATAATTTATTATATATGGATTTTTATCCAAAAATTTAAAGTTAGGGACTGTAACAAGTAAAAATACAAGCTGCAAGCTTAAAAAAAGTTTGCAAAATTGGATGATTCAAGAAGGGCTGCATCTTTAGTGTTGTTGGTATACGTTTAATTTTGCTTAAACTTGTTCGGTTACCACACAAAAACAGACATTTTGATTTAAGTTGTGTTGTGATTGTTGTTGTTGTGTGAGCAAGTGCAATTCCATGGCTTGTGCAGCTACAGCTGCGAGCAAAGATGCCAATACGAGTACGGGTAATGCTGGTATCGTAGCTGTATCTACAAGTTCTGCAAGCTCTTCTGTTAACGGAGCGGTAAGCGGGGTCGCAACTTCATCCAGTTGCGCAGGGGCCAGTGTAAGCGGAACAATTCTAGCTGCAACTAGTACCCAAACGGGCGGGATCAGCGTATTGGGCTCGGGCTCAGGTGCAATGAATCGTCAAGCCCGTTTCGCGACAGAGGGAGTAGGAGCACGCGTTGTAAGAGGACCCGATTGGAAATGGGGTAAACAGGTGAATGCCCAGAAACTTGTCTATTTATTACGATGGCTTTTTTTTTTTTTTTAAGCAGCAAAATATGATATATTACTTTCAGCACCTTCATTATTATTTATTGTCTGTAAAAATTACTAACTACTATTTATTTACACCTATGAACTTGCGATAAATCATCTAACAACGTTTTACATGTGTCCTAAATATTGGTTCTATTTTTAACGCAATAGCTGGAAAAGGATAGGCTTAGTTTATGTCCTTTGTCGATCCATTAAATGGCCTATGTATTTTGTCTTTCCGATCCGAAGAAAACTGCTCGAATTTCGATTTAAGTATTTAAAAAATATATTCATGTCACTTTCTGTTGTGCAAAATGTGTACGGAATTTTATATTCATAAAACATTTTGGGGTTGCAAGGAGAATGGCAAACATAGAATGCCCATTTTTCCTTACGACAGGTACAAGAAAATATATTCCGTACATTGTGATCAATACTGCAAGGCGCAGTAATTGTTATCGCTTCGTAGAAGCGCAAGCAAATGCATCAACAAGACTGACATTTGGTAAATTTTTTCCAATTCTTTCTCGTTTTAATATTCAACGTAGTACGGTACGGTAGGCGGCGACTCTTGGATACTTGTGCTTTCAATCGGAATTTTTTAATGACTGTTTTTCAATCCGAATTAATAATTAGCAGCAATAAATGTGAATGTTACAGACCATAAGTTAATGATGGTTGTAAGTTTCACTTTAAGATCATATCATTTTATCGACTTTGAAATTTGCTCATTGTAAGAGGCTGATGGATGTATCAAGTTAGCGTCTTATATTCTTTGAAAACTATGTAGCGTATTTTTCGGCTATAAAACGCACCGAACGAAAGACGAATTGAAAATTTATAAGATGATTTTTAGAAAAATATTTTTTAACATTACTTTCGGATCGAAATTTGTATTAATTGTTAACACAACTCGTACTAGTCGCCGTTCGTAGAACTTTCATCTGAACTGAGACGATTTATTGCAAAAATATTTTAATGTTGCCTTCGGACCATAGGCCGCACCCAAAATTTGTGTTCATTTTTCTATGCCAAAACGGTGCTTCATATATTCTGAAAAATACGTTACCCCTAAAATATACGAGGGATGTCTAAGATATATTTTAAGTGTTACATATGAAATATTAAAACTAATATACCTTATTTTGGTGGAGTGCAGAATAGTAATAATAATAATAATAATAATAGCGTGAGAGAAGAAATTATGCAAGTTTATATTGAAAATAATCTGATTCTCAGCCGATATTTGTTTGACTTTAATTTACGCTAATTAATTGGATTAACTTTGAATTCGAGCGTCAGGCATCAGGTCTTACGCTTTTAGCGGTTGTTGTCAATAAAAGAAATTGTTTTTAATAAGAAAAAACATGCTTCTGCTATTGTTGTCATTCCGTTGTCTCTATTTTTATTTATTATAAAATAGAAACGGGATTTTGAGTAATTTAATAAAAACACAAAATTTCGTCAACACAGCGATATATAAGTTCTTAGAGTAAAATTGTTGTGCTAGTCGCACGATTTTTGCGATAACTTTTTTTTTTTTTTTGTCATTTTTAATAACGGACATATATTTATATACGCAAAGGAATTATTATTTAACGATTAAATCGGCAGATAAAAATATGGGCCGCTATCATTATCGTGTTATTATTAAAGTAATTCAATAATTTTGATGTAATTTTTATATAATTAATTAAGTTTTTGGCATACATACAAGTGAATATGGAGTGGAAGAAGCGGTCTGACAGCCTAACGGAAACAGACTAAATCTTTTATAATTATTATATACAACAACAAATGAAATATGTATATCTCGGTTGAAGCCCGTTAAGAGATAATTCCGATTTTTCTCTTAACAGGATGGCGGTGAAGGCCATGTAGGTACTGTGCGTAATTTTGAATCTTCCGAAGAAGTGGTAGTAGTTTGGGATAATGGCACGGCGGCTAACTATCGTTGTGCCGGAGCTTATGATTTACGCATATTAGATAGCGCACCGACGGGTATTAAACATGACGGTACAATGTGTGACACCTGTCGCCAACAGCCCATATTCGGTATACGTTGGAAATGTGCTGAATGTGTCAATTACGATTTGTGTTCAATTTGCTATCACGGCGACAAGCACCATTTACGTCATCGTTTCTATCGCATCGCTACACCCGGTGGAGAACGTGCTATGTTGGAGCCTAGGCGGAAATCGAAAAAAGTAGCTGTACGCGGTATATTTCCCGGAGCCCGGGTAGTGCGCGGCGTTGATTGGCAATGGGAAGATCAGGACGGTGGGGTAGGTAGGCGCGGCAAAGTAAATGAAATTCAAGATTGGTCTTCAGCGTCGCCGCGTTCGGCAGCTTATGTGGTTTGGGATAATGGTGCCAAGAATTTGTATCGAGTAGGATTTGAGGGAATGGCAGATTTGAAGGTTTGTTAATTATAGTTCATTTAACTTCAGATTATTCTCTGTAGTTCGCTTCTACAGGTGGTCAATGATGCAAAAGGCAATACTGTTTATCGTGATCATTTACCTTTACTGGGTGAGAACGGCCCAGGCAAAGGGCCGCATGGATTTCAGATAGGCGATAAAGTCACCGTAGATTTAGATTTAGAAATTGTACAATCGTTGCAACATGGCCACGGAGGCTGGACTGACGGAATGTATGAATGCTTGAATAACACTGGCTTGGTAGTAGGCATCGACGAAGATCACGATATTGTAGTAGCCTATAATTCAGGCAATCGTTGGACATTTAATCCAGCAGTACTTACGAAAGTCTCTTCGCCCGCCAATACTACCCCAGAATTTCAAGTTGGCGATATTGTTAAAATCTGTTCCGATGTCGAATCGATCAAACAATTGCAGCGCGGTCACGGCGAATGGGCTGATGCCATGCAATTAACCTTGGGAAAAGTGGGTCGTGTACAGCAAGTCTATCACGATAATGATTTAAAAGTAGAAGTTGGCGACACGTCATGGACTTATAATCCGTTAGCTGTCACTAAGGTAGCCTCATCAAATACAGATACCAATTGTGTACCAGTTATATCCAGTGGAGAACGTCTGTCAGCTATTTTAAAGAAATTATTCGAGCCCAGCGTTTCTGGTGATGCTACTGAAGAATTTGTAAAAGCAGCAGCCAATGGATACGCGGTAAGTGTTTCCTATAAATGAGTTCTACATTAAGTTCAAAATTTCCATTACTTTCTATTTTTGCTGCACTGGTATAGGCTCGTTGTGAAGAGTATCTTATTGGAACTGTACAAGCTTCAAGTAGCAGCGGTGGTAATTCCGCCAGCTCCAATTCTTCCACAGCAACTGCTGCTTCCATTAATTTAGCAGATGTTAATGGTGTGTTCGCAGGACATACCGCTCTGCAAGCAGCGAGTCAAAACGGTCACATTGAGGTTATCCAAGTTTTACTGCGTCATAATGTTGATGTTGAAATAGAGGATAAAGACGGCGATCGTGCTGTTCACCATGCTGCTTTTGGAGATGAGCCGGCGGTTATTGAAATTCTTTCTAAAGCCGGTGCCGATTTGAATGCTCGTAACAAACGTAGACAAACAGCTTTGCATATCGCCGTCAACAAAGGTCACCTCAATGTAGTTAAAACTCTTTTGAGCCTTGGCTGCCATCCTAGTTTACAAGATTCAGAGGGAGATACGCCTCTCCACGATGCCATCTCTAAAGAACACGATGAAATGTTGTCCTTACTATTGGACTACGGCGCTGATATTACCTTGACTAATAACAATGGTTTTAACGCTTTGCATCATGCCGCTCTTAAGGGCAATCCAAGCGCTATGAAAATTTTGTTAACGAAAACTAATCGCCCTTGGATTGTGGAGGAGAAGAAGGACGATGGTTATACAGCTTTGCATTTAGCTGCTCTAAATAATCATGTCGAAATTGCCGAGTTGCTGGTGCACATGGGAAAAGCTAATATGGACCGACAGAATGTTAACTTGCAGACGGCTCTACATTTGGCTGTCGAGCGTCAACACGTACAAATAGTAAAGTTGCTGGTACAAGAGGGAGCCAATTTAAACATACCTGATAAAGATGGCGATACACCATTGCATGAGGCCTTAAGGCATCATACCTTGTCGCAATTAAAACAACTGCAAGATGTGGAAGGCTTTGGGAAGTTACTAATGGGTCTGAGGAATCCCAATAACAAGAAAGCCTCAGCTTCAATAGCATGTTTTTTGGCTGCAAACGGAGCGGACTTAAATTTGAAAAATCGTAAATTGCAAACTCCTTTAGATTTATGTCCAGATCCCAACTTGTGTAAAACCTTAGTGAAATGCTATAACGAACGTAAGACAGACGATAGTGAACTGCCTGGCAATGTCGCTGGTACAAGTTCGAATGCTCGAGCCAGAGCTTTAGCGGCGCCGTCTAGCTCTACATCGGGGCTCCTACAACAAACTGTCGCTGCAAGTGTTCCGTTAAGCTCTGTTGGCACTGGTTTAAATGGCTTGACTCATGATTTAGCGCAATCTCTGAATACTGTCGCCAGTGAGGCAAATAAAACAAACACTTTGGACGAATGTTTGGTGTGTTCAGATGTTAAAAGAGATACTGTGTTTAAGGTAAATCACTTCAAATTTTGATTAAAACTAAAACTTATTTCGGTTTCTTTAATAAAGCCCTGCGGTCACGTTTGCTGCTGTGAAACTTGTGCCCCTCGTGTTAAAAAATGCTTGATTTGCCGTGAAACAGTAGCTGCACGTGAAAAAATTGATGAATGTTTGGTTTGTTCGGATCGCAGAGCTTCCGTGTTCTTTAAACCTTGTGGCCATATGGTGGCCTGTGACAACTGCTCACGTTTAATGAAGAAATGTGTGTTATGTCGTACACAAATCGAGGAAATGATGCCCTTCTCTTTGTGCTGCGGAGGTGGTGGCATCATTGAAAAAGTAAATTGCATACATAATCTAAAGATTTTAAAAATGTAATATTTATTTGTGAATCGTTAACATTTTGACAGGTTCACACGGTTTCTTATAGCGAAACAGAGAAAATTCAGGGTATGCATTGTGTTAATACCTCTGGCCTTGGGGTCGCAATGAATAATACCATAACGGGTACAATGATTAATACGCCGGTCGCCGGCAGTAATCAGTTGCAATCGCAAACTAACATACTTGTCGGTCCTACCGCTAACAGTGTCATGCAAGCTCCTTCAAATGTCAACAATTTCCAAATTGATGATGTCCAAAAGCTCAAACAGCAATTGCAAGATATTAAAGAACAGGTATTTGATGAATGAATACCAGCTTTACATAAAAATTTTTCATCAAAAATTCTTTGCTCTCCTTTAGACTATGTGTCCCGTTTGTTTAGATCGGATTAAAAATATGGTCTTTCTCTGCGGTCATGGCACTTGTCAAATGTGTGGCGATCAGATTAACGGCTGCTGCCCCATATGTCGCAAAACAGTCGAAAAACGCATTCTACTATTTTAAAAGGATTTTCAAATGTTTGAAATTTTTGACAGATCTTGTCGATAACTAATTCATTTTCCAATCTGTCATATTTTTAGCAACTCTATGACGGTACTACTCTGATATAATTCTTGTGCATTTCTACAATCTATACACATAGCCTGATTTCTCTTCATTATTCTCATTAATGTATATTTAATTTATATTTAAAACAAAAGGAGAACTATTTCAAATATGTACTAAATTCCATTTATGAATCAATATATATCCAATATAATCTTTTGCAACAACTTCTATTTGATTCAACTTTAGTAAGTAAATTTGTTATTTTCTTTTGTAAAAGACAAAGTGCATGAATTAAGCCATGACATTCTGTTGCAATTGTGACCTATGTTTTCTGTTGTTGATTATTTCTTAACAACTCTGTTTTTTTGCAAATCTTCGTTCATTATGAGCAGTAAACAAAGCCTATGCTTATGCTCTCTCCGCTGGTTGTTAAGAGAAACAAGTTGAAGTGATAATGAAATAAGTTAATTCCTGGTGGGATTAAATCATCGTGGACTTTAAATGTTGTGATATTCTATTCTCAATACACGAAAAGAAATGTACGCCAAATCTTACCTCTCAATCATCTATAGGGGACTAATCGCAGTGAAAATTAACTTTTGGAAAATATTCGTTGGGATCCTCCTTTTACAGATCGTTCTAAGAGTGTTGATCTGTCTCCTGCCTATGAAGTAGTAGATGCCGCAGGGCAAGTCCAAATGAATTACATCCAAGACGAAAGTGTGTCAATATTTACAACAGCAGCTAGTACTGCCCTTCCGGCCACAAATCTTACTCGCAAAGCCAAACTTAAAACGGTTATCATCACAGACAGTTTATTGTTCATGAAAGCTATCCATAATCACTTATATTTAATTAAGAAAGTGATAAATTGCCACCTACGGAGACAACTTAAAAATGTCTTGTGTATTAAGTCATGTTTGTCTCCTGGGGAATAGGGGAGCAGACGTAACGGGGAAGTCCTTTAATTACGAACGATACAATGGCAAAGTTTGACCTTCAAAAGTATCTTAGGAAAAAATTAAGGAGAAAAGTAACGAAAAAAGTCGACCGTAATACCATCCACACATCAGTTGTATCTTGATCTTAACCTTGTTCCATCCATATATCCAAACAACGTTGGGAATATCAAAAGCGAAACATTTGTAAGAATTTGATTTGGGCATGAGCTTACAACATCTTAGATGGATATTAAAAATCCGTCGATATTGTTAACCATGTCTTACCAAATCGTAAATATATATTTTGTGAATGCGAAAACTGTTCTAATATTCGAAGATTAACTTCCAGAAGATTAATCACCAATCTTTTTTTTTTTTAATTTATGGCCAGGATTAGCATCCATAATATCTAAAGTGATATCAGCCTGTATCCCAATGGAGATAGGGCTTAATCCTACGACTGTAGATGGAAATGATTTCGATAATTATCATTTGAGTAATACTGATATAAATAAGATTGCATCGAAGACAATTTCATCCCTATCATTAGTGTTAAATTAGATTTTAAAGGATTTAAAAACCATTGAATTCATTATTGTATTCTTCTTGGCCATTTCATGCGTACTTTAAAACAATGCTTTAAATGCGGAAGATTTGGCCATATTTTCAAAGCATGTAAGGCTAAAGAGACCAGGTAACTGAACTTTGGCAACACACCCAAATGTAATGAGAATTGTCTTGAAACCAAACGTATTGCTTGTGGTTCAAATAATCATAATACAGTTAAAAATACATGTTCCACCAGAAAGCGTGATTCAGTATTTAATAAGATGATGGTAATAGAAAATCTTTTCTATAAAGAAGCTAAAGAGAAATATGTACCCAATTATTATGAATGACTTGGCAATTACTCATACGTTGAATATTTCGTCTCTTTGATCATTTTAGTCATGACTTCCTCAAAAAATTGCAATTAGGACTTGTACAAATTCCTAAATAAAAGGAATACAATTGGTTTGTCAACATAGAGTCTGATTCCCCAAATTCGTCTCCTAGTTCATTTGGAAAATAGCCTACAACACAATTACAAAGGCCAATGATACTCACAAACGACATGCCGCCATCAGAGCGATGGAAAAACTCATCGCTTAAGTAAGAAAATTTATTTATTGGTCGAAATCTTCTGAAAAGGTTCATTCATTGAAAATATTATCGTTTACCTACAATGTAACGTACAAAGTGCTCAGCATAACTCATCAATCTTGAACTTTTTTTGAACTCATATATTATCGTTTCCTGCATTTTAAAGAAAATTTTCCTAATAAATGACATTGTTTAAAATTTCTAATTATGCATTGACCGAGATGATGGGTACGTTAATTTTAATATACTTGTGAAAAAAGAAATTACGTTTAGTCTTATGCCTTACAGCCCGGTTGTTGATGTTATGATCCAAATTAGCCAAATATTTCTTTGTATGATATTACATTTCGCTAACTGTTCACATACATACTTTTCATGCTGCGATGTGCAGATAATTTGACTTGCTTAATGATGAGCAGAATGTTAGATATTACTCCTATGGTGGGCATGTCAGAACTAATAAAGGTAAAATCCATGTAAATGCCATCAAAACTAGCATCTTTAAAGCTTTAACCAATGGAAGGCCTACTTTTAAATTGGAATGGTCCTACTAAGAACATTACCCTGGTTCAAACTTGCACCAATTAAATTTTTTTGTTCTTTGATTCGAGTACTATTAACGTTTTAATTAATAAAATTCAACATTCTCCCACGCTTTTGTCGAAGTTATAACAATTCTGTACAAAAAATAGGAAATTTCCTCTCATGTAAACTGTCTGTTCAAAGTCGGTTCAATATCCGATTTATCATCAGTTCAACGAATTTTTCAATATGAGATCAAGGTCGTTAAAATCCACTTTTCTAAAGTTAAGTCTTTTTCATCAAGACCATGGTGGAACCCGTCTCTGTCAATTCTATTTCGTAAATATCAAGCTCCAAGAAAAAAAATAAATAAATGTGCCGATCCTGTCAACTTCATTGAGTGTATAAAAACACTGAACGAATGGAAGTCACATCTATGCTACGATCCAGGAGGAGGGATGTTGCCACTGCTTACGATGGAATAAAATATGATACGGTCAATGCACGGGGTTAACCCCATCGTCACGTTTGAATTGCGATGCATTAAAGTTGTGCCTCTTCGTAAAACCGATGAAGATCTAAATGATTTGAGCCACTTTAGACTTATTTCGCTAATCTTAGTGTTCATAAAAATAATATAAATATAATTAATCTCATGAATGAGGAGGACGTTGGCGAATTTTTTAAACACTTCGAAAAGTGTGCGGTCGTTTTTAACAGCAAGTGAGAACAATGCGAATAAAAAGGTGGCCATGTTCTCCCCGAGATTAGTAAAGTCTTTGATTTTGTTAACTTAATGAGGCTTGCTTGTTTGAGCCCCATCCTCTAAGTTGCATGACCTTCAAGATGATAAACTCATACCTTTCAATATGCTGATGATTTTCATATAGTTTCTGGACGCTGTAATAACTAATTGTTCATCAAAAGTAAATATTTTTTCTTGTTGCAAAACAAATGCAAGAAGACTCCAGATGGAAAATAAGACTCCACATTAAAGTTGATCAGGTGAAATCTCTTTGATACCACAAGACTTCCAGTCTAGATGTGACATTATCAAACTGATGATTAATAGTCAGTCAGGATTGCCCCCGAAAAAAGCTTTGACAGTATAGAGCATTAGTCCGATCTAAGATTGAATTTGCCCGACGTCCTAACCACTAGACCGTACGGAGTCCCCCGCTATTTTTTACTCAACCCAGTAAATCATTTCTTGTTGATTTGCTGACTCCCAGAAGCAGAAGGTCTAGATAATCAATTTAACATACATAAGGCAATATAGGAATCTCAGATCGTGTATTGCCACCTAGTACGTCTCGGCCGAAGCTATGTCTGCATGCTCGCGGTAAGCCTAAAAAAAAAAAGACAAGTTTATTTTATACCTTCCGTTTCTCAGTGATGAAAAGGCGACCGATGCTTTAAAATTAGAAATTAAGGTAAGTCTAATTAGTAGCATGCATTTGAAAGGAAGGGAAATTTCTAGAAACTGTATCAACAATATCCTGATACGTGTGGTGGTGTTAAACATAACGTAGATATTGCTAACTTCGTTCACAAAAATGGAGTAAGTAGATCAAAATTCAATTTAAAAACATGGTCATCGTTACAGATATGTTGTTGGGACCTACGGTTGAGATCGGAGCCCGCGTAGCTATGGGACCTTCGCAGAAATTAAGTTTTCTTCGAAATTATAGCAGTTCCCATTACGGAACTTTCACCTGTAAGCAGAATTTATTTCGTTTAATACCTGATTCGAATGCTAGGTGTTATCAGATATGTTGATGGCATGACCGCTTACCCCTTGACCTTGTAAACGTACGGACAACACATAGCAACAGGCATGTATTGAAAGGCCTGATAGCAAACGCAAATGGGATACATCATTTCATTTTAGCTTTGGAAACTGCTCTTAAAAAGAGTTGCCCACCTTATAAATAACAAAAGCTTTTTTGATGCGCTACGTATTTAAGGATGCAATAATGTGATTATATAACATGTACATTATATACATGTATAATATATATGTAATATATAAATATAGATAAGCATAAATATTATTATTATTAATTTCGCCAGAGAAATAAATTCTAAGACTAAACTCTTAAAAGCACTAGCATCTAAGGCTATCGGCTTTTATTAAAAACTCTACCGCACTTGAGATTCGAACCCACGACCATTGACTTGCTAGTCGAGATTCCTCGCCTTCGGCTACTCAGGCGGATATAAGCATAAATAATATAAAATAAATGTTATAAACTTGTGAGTCAATTTCTCCACTAGGCCTGGGAACATAGGCCCGGCATCAGTGCGTTTACGTCTGCATAAATTGGATTACTCCTTTTGCCCTGTCGTATTAGCGCGATTAGAAACAGTAATCATTTCCGCAAAATGAATGTCGCATGCTTCTTCGCAATTCTTATTAGAATGAGAACTTTTGGATGATTGATTGACTTAGATGAAATACTTTTTTTAAAGTAATTTCTAGAAAGGAATATCCATAATATAGGGTTCCTTTTCCGCCAACCTAAATAAATATGTTTCCCACGTTTAATTTGGAGGTACTTTTTGTTTGCATTAAAATGTTTTCGGAGAAAATTTTGAAATGATTTTTCAGATGTCCTGTTCTCAATTCTCTCTCGCAATTCCATTCCTCTCCCAATGAACTTGTTCTTATTTACACAAATAAGAATTACAAGTTTATTTTTCAAAAAAAAACACGTACTCTGTGCATAATACACTTGCTTCAAAATATTTTCGCCTTCCAATTGATATAAACTTCAAGAAAAATCATTTACTTCAAACAGAAAATATTTAATGCGTTTCTATTTCGTATATGCAGATATTTTTCTTCAATTAAAGAAATAATAAAAGTGGAACAACTATTTCCCCTGTAGCTGTTTTTAATAAAGAGAAGAATGCAACAACGTCCTATTCAGGCGAAACCGAAAATATCGGGAAGGACGGCCAAAGCGCCACCGAAATCATATCCGGAATCTGTCGATGTCGCCGTGTCAAAACGTGCTTCCGAGCAGACTGTGTCTATACAAAATTTGCATTTCCCAACAACATGTGCATCGAAAGGCGTTTTCGTAGTGCATCAACAGAACGAAGCATTTGTAAAAAAGACGAGTTCAAAGTCAGATCGTGGGCGAAAAAGCCATGCTATTGATTTTTCTACATCGACTAATTCGCATTTTGGCAGTATGGTCTTTCCCGTACCGAAAAAATTTCGGGCCAAATGTTCTACCTCTTCGTCGATAAAAGACGCCGATGATAGATCTGAGATTGCAACCACCCCGCGTTGCTCGACTACTGAGACCACCCGCAACAAAATGACCTCCGAAGCCATGGTCGATACCCAACACAAAAGTTCGCGCAAACAGAAAGATTTTCATGGTCCCGAGTGGAAGCGTCCTTGTAAAGAAAGCTTTGTAGCTGGAGCACCTCGGAAGTTTATCGGTACATGTCCTCAGAACTATGAGTTTCTTTCTAAGATGTCATTGTCGAAACAAAAATTTTTTTTTGACTCAAGATCCACGTAAGGTTCATTGCTTGGTCAATCCAGCAGTCTTGCGTACTAAAGCGTATTCAGCAAAGAAAGAATTCGATGCCCTCACCAAAATGGTTAAACATGCCCAAAATGTCTGCGTTGCACCAGCTTCTGAATCTTCCGAATCTTTTGTATGCGATGTGATCGATTTAGAAAACCCCTTGAATTTGGACTTCCAGGGCTTAGACTATAAGAATACCTATCAGACAGATGAGCAAGACCTGCAAAATCAAAGAAACTATCGGCGCTTATGTCGACATTTAGAACGTAAACGAGTAAAGGAGGAAACAGCAGAGCGGGTGGAGCATGAATTGCATCAGACACGGGTAGAAATCCCTCCCCGATATGATGTACGTGATCGAAATGTGCTCTCACCACCTCCGGTCGTTGAAGAGCCTTTCAAGTTAGCAAAACTATTTCGAGCTGGCGATAAGCCTTACAATAAAATGCTGACAAGACAAGAAAGGGAGCGGCGGAGTGAACGTTATAAGAATTTGTATTTGAAGAATATGCAAAGAAAGTTGGAGAATAAAGAAGAAGACGAGCATATAAAAATACGAAAAGAAGAAGATCATGGCATGATATTGGCAAAAGCGAACTTTCATAAATTCAAGGATGAAATCGAAAATACGATTGAACGTAGTTTTAAAAAAGAAATGCTGCTGAAAAAGCCAGAGGTACAACGACGCATGTTTCCACATACAATAAGAGAAGCGAAGATTTTTAAACGCGATCTTAAAGCACGTGATCGCATGCGACGAGACGAAGCCCGTGTCAAGCGGGATTTTTATACGGAGCGCTTAGGCAAGCCAAAAAATTATCCGGAGGCTGATTTGGAAATTAGTAGTGACAGTCCACTTGGTTCAGGCTCTACACTCACTGAGCAATCATCGGATGACGAAGATGATATGGTTGTTGGAAAGGATGGTAATGTTTTTAAATTGCGCGGTTTTCATTTTAAATTGGGAGATACGATAAGGGGTAAATTTCATCAGCGCGAAAAGCAACAGGGCATCCGCAAAGAGAAAGGCTGTATTACGCGTGAAGAATGGTTACAGGAATTGGTTCCGAAGAAGGAAAAGGTTAAAGTGGATGTTGATGTGGGTGTACAAAAAGTAAGAAGCCCGGATGATCCCAACTTGGATATTTTCCCGCCGAAATACGGTATGAAAGTGCCCGTAGTCGAGCGCAGCGCTGTCAAGGAATTTCGCAAGAAACCCTTGGGACGGCACTACGATCGTATACAGCCCAAGAGTTTGAAATTTGTGAAACCGCGGTTACGTTACCGAGTAAAAAAGTTTAATTTGATTAGTTATCGTTTTGGTGATACGGCCAGAAGATTGGCGCAAATTAAAGAACCTTCAACAGATGGGGATACCCGGCAAATGACTTTAAAAACAACCGCTGAATACATACAAGCGAAGGCCGAGATGAGAAGACGGCGTCAACTGGATATTAAGGACAAGCGATTGCAGCTTTTGGGCATTCCTTGCAAGTTTGTGAAGAAATCAAGTCTGCAAACGAAATGCGAAAATTCGGAAAGCAGCTCTGATTCGGAATGGATACCCGAACCTGAGCCTGATTATGATGCTGAAATGGACGAACAGCAGCGCAAAGCTGAAAGAGAAAAACTGCTTGCTCAGGTAAGACCAACAAGATTGCGAACCAATATGCCAGCACCAAAATACCGTGAACCCACACTTAGACAGCATCCCAGACTTAGGCGAGATTATGAAAACTTACGAGTACCTTCGGAACTTTTTGAAGAAGCCGTTCAAAAAACCAATATTCCACATATGTTCCGACTACCAGAAGATCAAATCGATTATGCTAACGTTCATATAAATAAACGGCCATTCACTGATCTATTTAATGCTCGTCACCATCATGACCATTGGGATCCCACACAGATTAAGCATGTAGACGTTCATTACAAACCGAAATTGGTGACAGCTGAAATTACAAAAAATGAAGAGAAAACTGATAACGTCATCGTGGAAAATTTTGATATTGCGAATCCACCTTGCAACGCATATGTCGATATGGACTTGACTTTGCCAAAATGGAGTACAACTCGTTTAATTGCTGAACATACCCGGAGTTCTAAAAAAAAGACCGATGATCTGGACCATGTCAAATACAAAGACGTATGTGAGATAAAAGACAAAGTATTCCGGAGTCGTGATCCCCAACAACTAAAGAATTTGGATTACCCGGGAAGACAGGAGTATTTGCAATTTTTACACGATATCAAAACAGTTATACAAGATAATAAAAAATCAGAGGAAGCTGGCGAGGGTATATTTGTGGATAGGGAAGCTCTGATGCGTGAATTGGAAGAAGACCTACAAAGTATCGAGACTTGTTTGACATCATTAAGCAGTTCAGAATGTACGAATTTCACCAACGATAGCGGCAGTTTTCTGCTTATGGATGGCAAAGAGAAAATACCTTTGGATTATATACGCAAATCGTTAGTTCCATTTGAAGAACTGCATCGTTCGCGGTTTAAAGCAGAACCCATTGATGTGGATAAAGAAGATAACAATCCGTGGATGGTTATGCCATTTTCAGGTCAAAGAAAAGCTCAGACGGAGCTAATGTCACCGAAAGACAGCTTCTTTACATTCAATACACGACTTAAGAATGGCATACGTCTGAGCTTGGAGGTTCCTGTTGAAGACGTGCGTGAGAAACTGATTGGTCGTGGTCGCAATAAATACAAGGGTGTTGTAACCACCGATATCGATGAAAACTATGTGGAGGAACTGAGGAAGCCCCCGCCTGTTAAAACGTACAATTTTAAGTCGGGTCGTACTTTTATTAAAGACGCACTTCGTCTCAGGTTTGAGTCCATGCTAATACAAGGCCAAATAGTACGAAATAAGATCTATGATCGTCTAAATGAACAACATTGGTCCGATATGCAAACAGTGAACACACTTTACAAAAAACTTTTTGCCAAATGGGAGAAACGCGAATACGAAGCCTCAATGGCAGTAGTTTACAAGGTGAAAACTTATTACGATCGAACAGATCGTTTAAAAGCTGAATTTCGGGAGCTGGAACGTCAATCCGTAATCCTCAACATGGACATTGTGTTTATCGAGGGCCATTGGATCAGCTGCATTATGCTACAAAACTTTCATTATCTGATGGCTGACCAAGAGTGGCGTTTAGAACATGATTGGATACATATTAAAAAGAATGAGAACGGCGAATGGCTAGAATTAGAAAATTTCGAAGAATCGATCAGTAAACGTGGTGCAGCCAATATAAGAGTACGTGAAAAAGACGATGCTTGGGCTATTAAAACTTTCTACGAAAATGTATACTTGGAGAATAAACATCCAAATTTGATTGTATTTCCAAATGCTGACAGCTTTCTTCAAGGCATTGAACATTTGAAGGTCAAAACATTTGTTCTGCTTTTAGAAATGCATTTTACATTGGCCATACATACAGAATTGCAGCATCGTCTGGAAAAGTTCCAGGAGTGGTGCGTAGAAGATTTAAAAGGAAAACAGGAGTATGTTGAGCGTAAATGTGCCAAATTGTACTTCATGGAAGATCGTGCTACTTGGCTGCGAACCCGCACTATGGACTTTTTAGGTGAACCAATTGAGCTTTGTTTCAATAATGAGGGTTCGAACAAGGACCGATCTGTTATATGGGAGGTTTGGCGTGAAGTAGTGCCAGCCAATATGAGAGGATCCAGTGAACAGGAATTACAGCCAATTGATATGGTGGCTATGATATCCGATGTTGTTATTGAATTAATAGGTAGGTTCTTTGAATGGCAGATAAAGTCAATTTAATTTGTTTACTATTTTGCAGCCAAATTCGAAAACATCCCAATGGGTGTAAGCCGTAAAATTGAACACAGCTTGCGTGCTAATCGAGCTTATCGTGAGAAACTGTCCTATCAGGCCTACCACATTGAGCGACGCATAGAGTCACAGATGAAGAACGTTGTCAAGAATTTACAGCCACCATATAAAAAACCGAAACGGACTGGCAAATTACCACGCTACATTGTTAAAAAGCGGCACAAAGTTGTTGAAGCCCCCAAGCCTAAAATATCCGAGCGTACCAAATTTTTCTTCCGCGCATTCCATGAAGAAAATGAAATCATGCAAATCACTGATGTACGCGAAAGTATCGCTCGTGTTGACAACATACAACAACAAATCGTGCCATTCTATTTTGATCATTTTCTTAAACTAAATGGTTATACTCCTAATTACAACTTTACGACACAAGTTGAACTCCGTGATGGTCCTGAAGCCGATCGTTTAGCAATGGGTGCACTTATACCAGACGTGATGATAAAACTAGAACAGTGGGAGAAAAAGAAAAAAGCTACTATGGAAGAACATATCGCTGGCAACCTGAAAATGTACGTTGACGTTATATAATTGGGAGTGCAATATTCTTAAAAAATGCGCGGAATAACTTACTAAAAATTTCTCGTGACGGACAACTATTCTGTTTTAAGAAGCAGGATATAAACTCTTTATTTGTTCTCACACTTTTATTTTATATGCAATGCAGTTCGCCTAAATTCAAGTTTTTACTTGGATTTATGCATTGCTCGCAACTATTTTGCACTGAGCCTCTTTATTTAATAAATCTTTTAAGATTTCCTTTTTCGATTGAAAATAATCGCGATACCATAGAATGTGAGCCTTTTTATCTTGGGCAGTTATGTGTGGATTTTTTGAGAGGCCAACACAAACTAATTCCATGAAATGACGTATTGGTCCCTGTTTTGGACACCATGATTCTAAATGCTGCTCGAGAAAAATATGTTCGGAGAAGTCGACGTCGCGTTCATCGTCCCAATCTTGTTCGTTGTCTATCGGAAAACGCCACAGCTTTCCTTGCTCAGTCCACAAAGCCATTTTTTCATAATAATTAGCTGGGGGATGTGATACGTGCAGCTTCAGTGAACGCTGTTGCAGATCAAACCAGGTTTTTAACATATCTGGCGATACTTTTAAATTGCCAGGTTGGTCAAAAATACCCATAGATTTCATGCCGAAAAGATTAACGCTACCTGTAAATACTTCGGCCTCACGTTTCGATGATGACGTCGGCTTTCGCTTTTCCCATCGGTTACCTTGTTGCTGTTTAGCTGCTATACTGCGCTTAACGTAATCACTACGGGAGTAAACAACATCTTCTTGCTTTCGACTTCGGTCTATCTTCATACCTACAATTAGTTCACTAAGACTTAAATCACTTTCCCCGTTGGTTGGGTCTTTGCTTGCCATTTGCTTATGACCCAAAAGTTTGGTTAAGAGTTCTGATTCGGTTTGCTTTTGCTTGGATTCATCTAAGAGAGAAGCAACCTTTTTAGCAGCGACAAATATGTCTTTGCTTTCTGCATCGGATTTAGTTTCGGCATTTCTTTTCCTGTGTAGCTCACCAGGACCTGGAGACGATTTGGAAAAATTGAAACTATCATCCGCAGTCTGCATAGAAGCTAATAAACGATTTAATCTAGCTGAAGCGGTTTCTTTCTGATCAATTACGGCGTCCGAATTTTCTTCATGGTTGATTTTAGTTTTCTTGCTTATTGTTTCATCATTCGCCGGTTTCTTGTCTTTGCAGTAATTTCTTACGCAAATTGATGACCTTATAGTCAAAGCTCTAAAATGCCAAGAAGATTTAATATAAGTCGGTAATTTTTTTCTACAAATAAAAATGAATAAAAATCATAATTATTCTTTACCTTAAATCGGATGATTTATGTAAAAGTAGCATTTCGCGTCTAAGCTGTCAGCTGTAATAGAAACTATAACCATATGTTCAGGGTTGTTAGCGGCCTCTTTAGCAGTTAGTATGCAATATTAAGAGTGAATCTATATAATATATAACGTGGCGTTTTTCTATTAAAAAAAATTAATTGCAGAGATTGATTTTAGGAAAATCGAAGAAAGGCACAACTTAACTTTCAATTTAATTGATTGTACTACTCAAGGATATATCATTATTGTAATGAAGTAATAAAGTATATAGTTTTAAAGGAAAAGCTTCAGATTGTAGTAGCAGAGCGCATTAAGTATGGACAAATTTGTCGGTTGTTTGTAACAAGATCGTATAAACGTAAATAGAAACTAGAAAAACTTTGAATTGTGAACTTGAACCTTGAATTTTAGTATATATCATTTAATTTTTATTTTATAATGAAATTTACTTATAAAGAATGTACGTTTTCAAATTGCTAATCAATCCTAGTTTTGTTTTATATAAATTAATTATTAATCTTCAAAAAGCATCTTAAAGATGATTATTCATTACATCTTATTTCAATATAATTCAACTTGAAAGTTCAGAAAATATGCCGGTTCTTATTTCCTCAATTATTCGCCTTCAGCGAAACGTCGACACCGTCATCAAAAGATGTTCCCTTGATCCAGGACATCAAAAAAAAAACCATAATTTCCATATGGTCACATGCGACATGAATAAAATATTTCTGTATGTATGTGCAAAAACCTACTTAACTCGCCACCATTCCGTTTAGGCCTTTTCGGTTTATGAAACCGATCTGGATTCTGTCCAATAACTTCAGTACATGAAGAGCGCAACAAGAAGTTAGGGGACTGACACAATGAGTTGCTATTTTCGTTTTCGAATTACAGACTCCTAAGTTGTAAACAGAGCCGCACTACCGTTAGAGGAAAATGCAAAGAAAAATATACGGTTGTAAAACCAAATGTAAAAAAATCAACGTAGACGTAAACCAAAAGTTATAAAATATAACAGACTTCAGTGGTAAAACTTCTTGTATATACGCATTTTATGAGTAAATTTGTATAAAAAATGATGAGAGTGTATATTTATTAGCTGTAAGGAAAGCTATCAAGCTTTTCCGAATGCTCTCTCATTCGTAAAAAAAGCCGAAAAACGAAAGCGAAAGCTAACTTGCAGACAGGCAATAATCCCTACAGATTTAAATAAATTGTATTTAAATTCTCCCATTAAAAAAAGAAGTTGACAACTCTATGTGAGCGTCATGTTGTGGAAATCTCTTTGGCTTCAGGATAACTTGGCAGCATGGCGATATTGTTGGTCTTATTATTGTAAAATGTTGTGCTCAGAGATGATTATTTGGCAGCATTGTGGCATTGCTGGCATTGTTATTGTAAAATTTTGTTTTACTCGTGCCTGAGAAAGAAAGAAGGAAATAGAGAGGCAATCACCACTTTTTAACAATTGCTTACATGAATATATATAAATCTAAACATTTTCTAGATTTTTTCAGTCCGAAATTTTCTCTTCGCAAAAGTGTTTTCATTTGACGTAATTTGGGAATTATATTTGATTTAACAGCTTAAAAAGAGGCACACGACTAAAAATAAATTCCTTTATTAAATGTATTTTTTGTTTAAACATTTTGTGTTTATATATCGAATAATAATTTTGGGGAGAGTTGGTGTTTTTTTTGTTGTGTTAAGCAGTTTCGTTAAAAGAGTTAAATGCGTCTTTAAAAAGCGCTTAAAATTTAAAAAAAAATGAAAAAAATTAAACATTAATTGAAATTATTTTTGAACTGTTGCGCCGAACACACCTTTAAAAATACACACAAGTAAAATAGAAAAATAAAAGAAAAAAAAAACGATAAAGCCCAAGTTATTTTAGTCGCGCAAAGTAAAATACGAAATAAAAGATAAGAAAAAAAAATATAAAAAGCAACAACAAAATCAACTCAATAAGCTAGACAGCAGACAGAATATAATACGAACCTCAAAACTAAAAAATCTGAAATATCGCTGGGAATAAATTCTAACGTAAAAAAATATATGTATTTTAATAATAATTTTCAGGAAATTACGCCTATTTTAATTAATATTTAACGAAATGAGATTATTGAATAAGAAATGACAAGTTAGTCACAATGAGAATTCAATCCATTGAATAAGAGAGAGAGAGAGAGAGAGTAATTTTTATGCTAGTCGAGTTCACATGTGCATAAGTGTCTGTGCGCGCGCTAGCGTGTGTGTTTGCCAGAGCAAGGTGAATTGCATAAACTGAGATAAAGAAAAAAAAAAGAGCAGCATTAATGAAAAAACTGCGGCAATTTACTTTCTTAGCTTTTAATTCATTTCCATTTCTAAAGTAAAGAAAAGTTTATATTTTTTTATTTGTCTCCGTGCTTATTTGTTTGATTTACATTTTTATAATTCGAAAAAGTGTTTTAAACGCGATTATTTTAACGGTGTGTAATTAAGTATCCCTTAAACAATAAAAAAAAAGGTAAGTGAGATCACAAGAAAAGGCTAAGCAAGAATAAAATAAGAAAACCTACACAGGCACTAACGCATGCATACGCTTGGCCTTACAAACAAGATTTATGAATTAAATGACGTTTAACATTGGCCACATGTTTAATTTTAAATGTTTTCTTGAAATTTCAATCAATAAGAAAACATTATATATTTATGTAAGTTTGTAAATGTGTTAATAATATATATTTCATATATATATATATTTATATGCATATGGGAATGACTGAATTATACACATATATGGATGTATGTATGTATATGCATATGCATGCGATATGTAGAAAGGTACGTGAACGTATGTGGGTATGTGCAAATAACGAATGAGGTCTGTAAAATGTAATTGAGAAATTCCTCTACAACTTTTTTTTTTCCACTTTGCTTTTATAAAGTTTGACTTTGGCTGTACGCTTCTGGCTGCTGCGCTGTTTTTAAATTTATTCTATTCGTACTCATGGGCACATTAGCACTCACACAGGTTTATATGTTAAGCGGCGCTTGCAATTTTTTCACTTTTTTTTTTTTTTTTTCTTTTTTTTAACTTTCCACATGTATTATGTCTGGTTGTATTTTTGTTTGTTTTTTATGGGCTTTCATACATATATCATTCCATGGTTCCTTATATTATTTATGTTCAGACAGGAGGCAATTTTCTTAAAGTAAAAAAATTAAAAATGTACCGACTTTTTTAAAATCCTGTTTGAGTAGGAATAGGAAACTTATCTTATTGCAAGACCTGCATTTTATGATGACTTTTAACAAATTCTTCATTTTTGTTTCTTTTCAGCGTTATCTTATTAAATTCCTGTTTCGATTAGTGTAAGGAAAAATATTTAAAAAAAAAAGAATACGCAAAAGCAAAAATAATAATTATGATATTTATAAAAAATGAGAAAAACAAATTAAGAAAAAGTGCATTTTTTTAAAATAACAGATACATTTTGTTTTAAATTCAATTAGGAAAACAAAAAAAAAGGGAAAGCATAAGGCACAGAATTTATAAGTTTTTTGTGCTTTTTGTACAACATATTTATGCTTAAATGGATGCAACATCTATAATAACACAAGTCGCCCGCGATGATGAACAATTGAATGTTTATCCAAATGAAAAAGGTAAGTGACAGCAGCTGAAAGGGGTGGTTGGTAAGGAGATGGAGAGATAGAGAGAGAGTGAGAGAGTGAGAGAGAGAGAGAGAGAGAGAGAGAGAAAAGGAGAAACAGTAACGAAAATAAAAGAAAGAGAACAAGAAGAGAATTAAATACGTATTTTTTTTTTTCATAACGTCTTGTTCATGAGTTTAACGAACACCTACTTCCATTTGAGTTCTAGACAGAATTTGAGCTGAATTTAAGTTTTTACACTCGTTTGAGAAACAAAGGAATAATAATCCATATAATTTCTACCACCTCTCATCATATGTTCTAAATGGATGCCATTGAGAGGCCTCGGCCGCCCCCTTGACAGACAGTTATGATTCACACTTTCCTATTGTCATTTATTTTTTGGATTGCTTTCTACGTCTGCTTTTCCTTTGAAAGCCGGTTTTATTTTTAGAAATTCAAAAATTTTTCGAAATTTTTGTTCTTTCAAACGTTTTTGCTGTTGTTTCAATTTTGACCTTTATATGCTTGTTAATGGAAATGTGAAAGTTTTGCTTTACCGAAACATATTTCATATATGAGAAATAGGTGATAAAGTATCGTTCATTTCATTGCTACGTACATTCCAATAAAGTAGTTGTAATAATAAAAAAAAAAAAAAAACAGCATATGTACCATGTACGAAGCAGCAAGTATATGCGTAAGATCTGTCGACTACAAAATCTATGAAAAAATCGAAAAAGATTTTTATCCTTATTGATATGAATTGACGTCACAAGACGTTGAAATTTATGTATTGATGGACGGGAATTTTGTAAATGGTTACTTGAACATACATCTCCCCAAAGTAAGTGGTGCAGGCTGTGTCTTCAAGAGAGGCACTAAATACGATTGCAACGATGTTATGCGTTGGTGTGTGAAAGAATTGATTGAACGTGAATAGAACAGAAACGCAATTCATCTTTTTTTCATTTGCTTGTTGTCTGGCAGAATACTCCTGTAGCGAAGAAACCATTTTCGCCGTTTTACAGCCAACACGGGTCTTTTTCCTACATTTAAGCGCGATTAGACGAAGTATTAGTCTAAAATAAAAGCGCATTAAAATACCACACACGGTACAACATGTACCTATTTGTATGATTTGTATGATTGCATAAAAGTAAAGATATTATAAAAGGATTGATATACGATTTTTAAAGTCATACATACGTCATAGAGGATGTAAGATATTGAATTGATTTAGCATTCGGCCCTCTGTTTATAGGCCGTTATTTGAAGGCCAAGCGCGAACTTAGCGCATAAACGCTTACAACTGCATGAATGCAGTGAAGGGGCAATGAAAGGGAAAGTTATAGTAAATTAAAAGATTCGATCGAAGCATTTAAGGGGACTGCGCAACACTTTGCAGAAAAATTGACGTGATCCGCTTACAAACACGCCCATAATAATGAAGAGGATTCGTTTAAATAATAAATTGGGACCGGGCTTAGGATATCTAGAAGCATGGCAGGATGTCTCCTTGGATTTAATATTAAAGTTGCCATTAATTGTCATACCAACTAAGATATGAAATCTATTTTTAGGGTTAAGAAAAATATTTTTTTCAAATCGGAAATCTTAAAGTTGCTTAACTTCGATCAGTACGAGAGATACTTAAAAAATACAAGGCTAGATCGCGAAGACTTTCAAGTCGAACGCGGCCAGCGCGGTAATAAGCCTTGAAGAATTGAATAAATTAAGTTTTGATAAGTTGTTCCAGATGGCGCATTGAGCAGAAATATTTTGTGTTGTGCGCTTCGGAGAGAACTATGAATATCATATAAATAATTGTCTTGTATATGATATGTAAGAAATTTTGAATAAACGATGAAAAATGTGTTATTCATTTCTTAAGGATATGTCCAAGTAGTGTTTACCGTATCAATTTTACCTGAAAAACGCGGATGAGGTCGATGAAAAATGAATCCGTTTTTATTAAGACACATGCGCATTTTGTTGTCTCATTATTTAATCTATTTTTTATCTTGGACTTTTTACCTTGTCTGTCCCTCCGTCTAATTCGATTAAAAAATTTACATTGTAATTAATGTCAAAGATTAACAATGAGTTTAGCTACAGTGCACGATTTCTTTTTTTCAAGTTTCGTAGATTTATCATATCCGCGATGTAAGAATGAAAGTGTATTTTCATTTTATAATATCGTTAAGGACAGTTGCTCATTAAAAGTACTATTAGACATTATTGATTGGCGTGGGATTCTGAATCTGCGTTGATATAATCACTCGTGGGTTTAGCTCTTGCCAGTTTTGCGATTACGAAAAATCGCCTATGAAGGTGGAATTTTTGGGAAAATGATCGAAGAAATCGGTTTCGCTATCGTGTGTTTTCGGAAAGTCGTAATAACTAGGATAGGGCACCTCTTTAAAAAATTCTTGCTGCAGATTCACAAATTAAGTTTAAAAATTGATGTGGTCTGGCTATAAAAAAGTGCCCATTGGACAAATAACGACTTCGGAATCAAACATATTGATGATATATATATATATATATATATATATATATATATATATATAT